CTCCTCCAGCAGCTGGTTTCTCAGTAGCTTGTTCCTCGGGTGTTTCTCCTCCAGCAGCTGGTTTCTCAGTAGCTTGTTCCTCGGGTGTTTCTCCTCCAGCAGCTGGTTTCTCAGTAGCTTGTTCCTCGGGTGTTTCTCCTCCAGCAGCTGTCTTCTCCGTAGCTTGTTCTTCAGGTGTTTCTTCTCCGGCAATTGGTTTCTCAGTGACTTGCTCCTCAGGTTCCTCTTCTCCAGCAACTGGTTTCTCAGTGACTGGTTCCTCAGGTGCCTCTTCTCCAGCAACTGGCTTCTCAGTGACTGGTTCCTCAGGTGCCTCTTCTCCAGATACTGGTTTCTCAGTCACTTTTTCGTCAGGTATCTTACCGCCGATCTTCTCACTTAAATCAGATGGTTCAGTAGTAGTACCCTGTTCAGCCGGTGCCTCTGCTTCGCTCACAGGTTTCTCATCTGGGATTTGACTAGCTTCCGTAGGCACTTCAACATGCGGAGCTTCGGTGGACTGACCTAAAGTGCTTTCCTCAGCCGGTTTGCTTTCCGTGACTGCTTCTTGCGTTGCTGGTTGTTCCGTCGGTTGTTCCTCTGCAACAGGTGGCTGAGCCGTTTCAGCCGGATGTTCCACAGGTTCTGTCTCTTTCTCGCCTTTAGGATGCTCTACTTCTTCGCTAGAGTCACCAATTTCCTCAGACGATGTTTCTCCAGATTCATCAATGGTCAGTGTCTTTGTTGGCATTTCTTCCTCGATCGAAGTTTCCTTTGACGGTGGTACTTCGGACGATGAAGCTTCAGTAGTATGTTCTTCCGGTGTATCCGGTTTCTCGGGCTCTTGAGTTTGTTCCTGCGGAACTTCTTGCGTAGAAGCTTCCAAACCTGGGCTCACTTCAGTAACTTGAGGAGCTCCCTCGGTTATTCCAATCTTCTCACCTAGACCAGCTTCTGTGGCTGATGGAACCTCTGTCCTCTCCTGTTCTTGGATCGCAGCCTCGGTAGACGCTTCCTTTGGCAATTGGCCTGCAGTTGTGGCTTCCTCGACAGGTGCTTGTTCCTCTTCACCAGCAACTGTCGTTTCTTTCGCAGGCGGAAGATATGTGGTCGGAATCTTCTCGGGAGTTTCAGTCATGAGATTACTGGGTATGTGGAATTCCGGAGGTTTCATGTCAACGTAGCCTTCCGTTACCTGGATCTCAGGAACCGATTCTTTGTCTTCCGCCTTGCTTCCAGGTACACGAGCGGTGGCAGGAATACCCGTTGGTTCTTGAGCAGGTGCTTCTGGAGTTTCTCCTTCTTCCAAAGCATGTTCCGTCACTGCTGGCGCTTCAACCATGGGTCCTTCTGGAAGCATGTCCTCTTTCTTTGGTACCACGCCAGGCAGTTCTTCAGACTTCTTATGATCGTACACTTCCAATTCCGGTTTCTTTTCAACTACACCTTCTGTAACTTGTTCTTCACCCTGTCCGGGAGCAATGCTTGCTTCCGTAGGTTGTTCGTAACCAACTTCCGGTCGCGCTGTTTCTTGTCCCTCTTGGCTGGGCTTTTCTTCCACGCCTGGAGTTCCTTGCACAGTTTTCTCTGTCGGCATTTCCGTTTCCGGGGTAGTCGCTTCTTCCGGTTTTCCTTCTACCGGTCCTTCCGTAGTTACCTTCTGCTCTGGTTCAGACACCAACGGTGTTTCAGCTTCCTTAGCTCCTTCTGTCACCTGTTCTTCAGCCTCGCTCTTAACAGTAGACATTTCGGGAACAGTTTCAGGCAACGTTACCTTTTCTTCAGTTGGTGTTTCCGGTGCCTCCGTAGGTTTTTCGGCTGCTTCAGTTGGCTCGCTGTATTCTTTAGGAACTTCAGCTTCGGTGACGCTCGGTTCCACACCTCCTTCCGTCGGTTTGGCTTCTTCAGCTTCTCCAGTGCTAGGTTCCTTAGTTGACAGTTCCTTTGGTGCACCTTCGGTTGGTTCCACTTCCGGTGTAGCTGCTTCGGTAGCTGGTCGTTCCTCTTCTTTCAAGGTAGTCGCTTCTTGGGGTACCTCTTCAGCCTTTGGCGAAGTCAATTCCGGCTGTCCTTGAGGAATGGGCGTTTCTGTGAGTCCTTGAGTAGCTTCTTCTTCCGGTTTGCCAGTCGTTCTTTCACTTGTCCCTTCGACTGGTGCTTCCGTGGCTTGTCCTTCGGCTTTCTCGGCAGGTTCTGTCGCTTCGATTGCTGGCTCTGTTGTGGCAAGAGGACCTTCTGTGCTGTACTCTTCTGAAGTAGCCTTCAGCGTTGTTTCCGATACTGCACCAGTCTCCGCAGCTGGCGTCATTTCTTGTGGCGTTTCTTTTTCTGGTTGTTCGGTAGCCGCTTCGGTGCTTTCTTCTTTGTGATCCTGAGGAATTGCGTTGTCGTAGCCGGGGAAGGTTTCTTCCGTTGTTTCAGGAACTTCTTCTTTCTGTCCGACTTCCGTTGGACTTGCTGCCGTTGTTTCTTGAATAAATCCGTCGGTTGACTCCTCGCTCTTCGGTAATGTGATAACTCCACCCTGTTCTTCGTCTTCTATAGAACACATACATTGCATTATTATATCGCATTCACGTAAGTTGAATTTCATGAATTTGAGTCGTCGATCTGGTATTTAGAGCCAAAATAGTAAAACGACGAAAATTCTTACCGCACTGATACGTTTCTGGGCAGCATTTCCCTTCTGGCGGAGGCAAAGCGGTGCAGTTCTTTCCGTGCGTTTGCATGGGAGTGCCGCAGTTCTGTACAGCGCAAGCGATGTCACCTCGGAAGCAGTAGCAGTGCTGACAAGGCTGCGTCGAGTAGATCAGATCTCCGTCCTCGTAGACCTTGCCTTCGTGGAAGCACTGCGGCGTCACTCCAGGTGCCATCGTGGTGGTCATGATGAGGCCAGGCGTTGGTTCAACTGTCGTTGCAAGATCCTCGTCGTATTCTGTTGAGATTGAACGATTGAAGAACACGTCGCTAATTCTAATGTGAAACTGGGCAGTTTTCAACACTACTTTCAATTTTCCATTGCTTTCATCTTCGAGGATATTATATCCCGAATAACCTGACAGGAATGACGCTATCCTCTATTTAATAAAAATCTATGAACCCCTCTCATTCATCCAAACAAAATTTCGGAACTACTTTCATTACCGTCGAGTGTTGTCAAATGCTTTATCCGATTATAGAGAAAATCAATTACATTATTTCTAACTATTCATAGGAGTACCCACCGCAATTGTACTTGACTGGACAACAAACACCGGGTTGGTACACTGGCCTGCATCCGGCGACACGGAGCGTGCACTCCTGCATGACGCAGGTGGTCCTGTTCCTGATGCAGTAACACAGCTCACAAGGATTCTGTGGGTCGATCGGCAACTGGGCACCGTCTGCGTAGAATCGTTCGTTGACATTGCACCCGTAATTGTCGTGGAAGCCGACCGCGGTGGAACCGGAAGTCGCCGGTGCGGTGGTCGTGGAGGTCAACAGTTGCACGGGCACCTCGGGACAGGTGATTACAGGACAGCACTGGTCGGGACGTTTCTCCACGGTACAATCTTGGCCGATCGCTTTCGTGAAGGGGCAGACCCTCAGGTAGCACATCAGCATCTGATTGTGACACGTGCAGTTCAAGCACGGTTCGTTCGTGACGATCCTGTCGCCCTCGTCGTAGTGCTGGAAGTTGTAGTAACATCCGGCTGTGCCTGTTAATTCAAATATTGATTAGAAACGTGTCTTTCCCCTTTTAACTACGTTGCTCTTAAATAGTATCAACTCTTTGCGGACGAATGTCGACACTTCGGCGAGATGAAATTTTCATATTCGGAAGACGAAGTCGCAAACAAATGATTTAATTGATCAAACAGCAAGAGACCAGCGCGAAGTTTCCTTTTTTTTCTATTGATTAAGCAATTGATAGATAATTTCGCTTCGTCTGTTAAAAGTATTGTACATTTCAAAGAATTTTCGTCCGCAAAGGGTTAAATAGCTACGTTCGTAGTGAGCTAAGAATACGGAGAATGATTTCTTTTTCGTTGCACAATGAATTTATTTGCTAAGTGTAATTTGATTCTATGTTATTTAGGTATCATTTACTGTGATCAACTATGTTTTAGCTTTTTCATTGTAACCCTAAGAAGACAGTTACTGTAGGAAAGTTAATGAACTACAGTAGATTAGTACAATTGTGTTTAGAAGCTTAAAAAGCAGATGGAAGGACTAACGAAATATTGTGAGCTACAATACGAGCTGTCAATATCTTTCAATTTTATGAATATTACACTGTAAGACAGTTAACCCGGTAAGTTCCACGGTTCAATGCAAAGAGAAACAGCTCGGCGTGAACATGTGTCCAACGAGATCTTTATGACACGGTAATCAGCTACCGCTGACGTAGTTACTATTCATCGAAAGGTTTGATTGAACGTCTTGTAAGTATCGTCGAAGCGGCACGTGCCGTTCGATATAATTAACCTCGCGTCGATAGCGTGCATATGAATTGGCGAGATGCAATCAGAGCTGGTGTTACGTACCTCCATTGTATTCCGCTATGTGTGTGCTATCGTGGTCATATACTGGAGCTGTAACAAAGAGAGAACAAACTTTATTATTTCAGAAACTCCGCTTGCATCGGTATGCGTTCTGATACTGACATTTACGAGTTGCGCGCAATAATAATCACATAGATATTACTTATATTCTCAATCAATCTAATAGGAAACACACTATAAATGGACCATAGACCAAACAAAATTATTCAGAACAGTAATTGAACATACAAATACCTAACATTGAAAGAACCTGTCCAGTGGCGCATGTAATAAAAAATTTACAATAAAACACGTGATAATACAACAAATTCAACAAATCCTCAAAACTCAGAGCAACAGAAACAATCTGATTGGATTTTAGACGAGTAACAAGATCCCCGTTCCACTTTCAATTTCTCCAAGCCCCCAACGCAAAGGAACAACAATTCGAATAACATTCGCGTTCGCAGGGGACACAACAGGAAATCTACGTTCACCAATTACATTTGCCAGTTGACGTCAGCGAGTCGCCTAAGTAGACCCCTCTAATACACTGTCAACCGAGACCAGACCGATTCCCCGGTTCGCGTCACAGCGGTGCGGGACTAATCCGGGGAACTCCATTTCCCATGAAATTCGTAGGGAAACGAGTCGTGTCTCTCCGGTGCGCGCAGTTTATCATAGTAATTACCGGCGGGATGCGTGTGTCCGGAGGGTGAACTGGGTGCCTTAACAACGGAGTGAGTCAAAGCGTCATATGGCGCGGGCGTGCGTGGGCGAATTCTCGTTAACACCCTCGCCCCCGGTCGAACGGAATTGTATGCCGAGTGCGCGCAGAATACAGAATCCTCTCTCGTCCCCGTGTCCCTTCGACGGCGTAGACGACGGTGCGGCGCGCCTAGTACCCCGTGAAAACGTGGCCCGAGGCGCGTCCCAGCCTCCTCGACCGGGGAACCCCCCTTTTCTTACGCGAGAGCGCACGGTTTTCGCAATTTCTTTCGGATTCAAAGTGCTCCGGAGAGTTCGATTGTTCGTGAAACGCAGCGCACGACACCCTCCCGCGATATCCAGCCATTCTTTCGCCGCGCACAATGCTCGGCTCCTCTGTCCGCCGATACGATCCTGTCACCCTTCCCTGGCACCGTCGGCGTCGCCGTAGGGAAGTTCTTGCCACCGGGTTTCTTAACCCTTACACTTTGATTTAGCAGAAATGTCTGCTTTCAAGTCGGTTCTCGGTAACAGAATGTTTTCGAGTAAATTGTTTATTTTCGAAGGAAGCGAAGGTATGGAAATTCTACGTGGTTCGGTCGAATTTGTGAGATACGAGGATTGAAAATATTTTAGAAGTCTCTGTATGGTTGCTGATGTAAGGGTTGATGAATGCGGATGATACGGGAATGAGAGTTTGTTGTGTTTCTGTTGTAATGAGTAATATTGGGGAGTGAACTTTTTGAACGATGATGATTATTAGTATGATATTGTACGTACGTCGGTTTGCGAGTGTATGAATTAGAAGTTGAATTAGTTGAATGTATATGAATGGATAAGAGAGAAAAGTTTCTTTGAGGTAACAAGTAATTAACACGATGATGTATGATGTTGCAAGCGGATAATCTCTTTAATTTATGGCAAAGTGTTTACTTCGTAACAGATTTATAATCGTGTTTGCACAGGTATACGTAAAAAATATTGTTTTCCTTGAAGGAGACCGATGGATTAAAGGACACCCAGTATGTCCACAGTGGTAAGGGAACCCTTTGAAGAAGGATATACGATCTTCATTCGGAAAGTTCTTACTTGTACTTTTTCTTCGAAAACCGACCAGGAACTCCTTGAAATGCACAAAACGTCCCTGTACACGGATACGTGCACCGCGAGGCGAAGGATTCGAATGGCCAATGTAATCCTTCCATTGAATGGACAGACCTGGCAGATTTATTACGAGCCGGCGATGATGCGTAACAAATATTTTCGTGGGCTTTACGAGGTTTCCAAAGAGAATTCGATTTTTTCTTTCCGTAACCAAGTAAATCCGGGACGGTAACAACAAACAAAGTCCAAATAAAAGATTCATTTCCGTAAAAACCACTATAGACAACAAACATATTCCATCTTTCCTCCCTCCCATTCCTCCCTTCTTTCTCCCCCATATATTCCATTTCTCTCCTATCACCAAACAAACACTTCAAGCTCTTTACACAATTCTACACAAAAAAAATCATCTACGACAAATATAAAACTTAATCCACATAAAAGAATCCCATTCATCCTCCTGTGTATTATTAAGTCACAACAAAATTTCCCGCCGTTTATCGTTTATATCTATTAGTCACGCCGAACTGTCCCAGAAAATATCTAACTAGTACGAAAAATAGGACGAGAAAATCTGGAAACTGGCCAAGGAGACCGGAATTGCTCAGTCCAGCCATCGAGCGATCTCCTAACAGTGAGACCGTACCTAAATCACACGACGAGCCCCATTCATTACGTCTGTGCGATCGGAAGTCGGGCCGCGACTCGTAGGCGCGAAGTTGAAATGCACGGCGCGTGCGTTTCCGCAAGGTGCTCTCTCCCCGGCGATCGCGGGGACATTCGTTTCCGTACGTGCGCTGCAGCGAGGGGACTCGTACCCATATGCACGTCGAGGAATCAGCATTCCACTGCGCGGTGCACGCAGCCGACGTCGTCGTCGGCGGCAGCGGGGGCGGGCGGAGGTTAGTTTCCCGCGAATTGAATTGTACTGGGAAGAGAGCGCGGGGTCCGTGAATGGAAGGGCCCTATCGTGTCCTCTCGCGAAGTAGGGAGTCCCACGGAACGGCTCGCGCGCAGAGGAGCCCCGGCCAGCCGCGTGCCTCCACGTTACACGGGCCCAGCACGTACGTTGTACGACGCTCCGCCGAGACGATTCTTGTCTTGCGCGGTGCCTGCGCTAAATTATTGCGCCCGTTCGGCCAACAGGCCGGGCTTTATCGAGGTGTCCGTCGGAGCCGCGCGTGATTACAATCTCGGATGACTGCGCCGCGTCCCCGACGGGATTAACGGCGTCCACGCGAATTTACGCGGCTCGCGAGCAACGAGAAGTCAGGCGGTTTCGCCTCTCGCCCTCTTGTCTCGCCCGCCGCTGCCCCGTTACGTTGTCCGCGACGCTCGCAACACCTAACCGAGCAACAGGTGCGAACGGACACGGTTCTCTGCTACTTCTTTTCGCGTGATCGATTTGTCCGATGCACCGCGGACTTGGGTGATGTCCTTTTCGCTTCTGAAAGCGTGATCGAGGTTTCGAGATGACGCGACTTAGGAGCTATAGTGGTGAATCATAGCAGGAATTTGGGTTCGCTCGAAGGTTGGGAAGTGTGGTCGAGGTTTGGAGATGACACGTTTTGGGAACTGTAAGTAAGAATCGCGATTCGGTCGAATTTTGGGGAGCGTGGTTGAGTTTCGGAGGTGATACGCTTTGGGAACTATAGTGGGGAGCGGAAAGTGGGAATTAGGGTTTGATCGAATTTTGGGAAGCAGGTGGGCACTGGAATGTGAGCTAGGATTTGGTTGGGAAGTACAGTTGGCAAGTAAAATTTCAAACTAGGATTCGATCGATTTAGGAAGTACAATGAAAAATTGGGATTTTTTTGGAACTATAATTGAGAATTACCATCACAAATTAGAACTTGCTCATTTTGAGAGCTACAAGTAGGAACTACAACGAGAACTAGAATTTTCTGATTTTGAGAACTACAGTGGGCAGCTAAAAACTAAAATTAGGATTAGATCGTGATTTATCGTTCGAAACTGCAATAAGAAATTCTTATGAACTTCGGAATCGGTCGCTTCGAAAACCTACAGTTCCCATTCACAAGTGTCAAGGAAGAACTCTTCCTCCCGATCAATCCGAGCGGCGATCGATAAATCGCACGGAGGAAATTGACAGGTGTAACGGTACCGTTCCTCGCGGCAACTTCGGCTCGTTACCACTCCGAAGAAGAAAGTCTCCAGTTCCCCGATCATTGAAATCGCCTGGCAATTAATCAGGGACGAAGAAACCGGCCGCCTTATCGCCGGCAACAATAAACGCGATCTCGCCTCGAGCGCACCGGCAAAAATCCCGGCGCAATTTGCATGAACGGTAATCGAGGTCGGGGCTCGTGATTATGTAAGTCAATGTTCCTCGATTACGGGCTGCCCTTTTCTCCGCGGCCTTCGCTGACGTTGTAACGTTGCTCGAGGAGAGAGCGAGAGGGACAGACAGCGGCACGATGAATGTTAAAGGAAAGGAGAGAGGCGAGCGAGAGCAAACGCGTCGCGTTATGAAATCATTCCCGGCGGCCTTGCCTCGCGAAAGTTCATTACCATCAACCGCACACGCTCCGATGAGCAGCTGGCTCCCGGCTCGCCGCCGCCGCGGCGCGGCGCGGCGCGTATCGCGTGCACGAAATTCTGCACTGCGAGGCCTCCAAGGTCGCGGTTTACCTGCCACCGCAACCACCGCTGTGGAATCCAATGATGCGACCAAAAACCTGAATCATTCTTTCTTCGACTGAAGAAGCTTGCTACCATTGCACCACGAAATGTCGGGAGCTTTTAATGCCTTGGTTGGCGAAGAGTGTTTCGATTGTAATGGCGGACGTTTAAAACTTTGTCTGCTACTTTACTTGAATTTCGGTGACACCATTTTTTACGTGAACTTATATAGTATTTTTCTTGGTAAACTGTCGAACCAACTGAATGTTGTGGATTGTATAGAATGTAAGAAAGATAGAGCAAGGGTTTCTAAGAATCTGGACTTTTAGTTTCTGTTAACTGTTTCGATTGCATAGGAGTTTCGATGAGTGTTACTTAGTGTTAGTGCGTTGTATTTTTGTTAATCAATAACGCGATAGAAGAGTTACCAATTACGAAAGGTTTCTAACAATCAAGCCGAATAACCTGAAGTAAACGATTTTCGTGAGAGAGTATTATAACCTACGATTTATCTGATTACTTCCAAGGTTTCGAACAAACAGAAATCTATATTAATATCTCGGAAACATTGAAGAAGCCATTTTACATACGGTGCA